GTCATTGCTAAAGATGTTTTCCCAGTCCGTGGACTCTCTTATTACTCTCTTGGTGAATTCTTTCGATGTACACAGGCGTTTTATCTTCAGTATATCCCATTTGTCAATTTGTGCCTCCTCTGTGTTTGTGTCTGAAAAGGATCTTAAGAGACATCCTCATTTGTTTTCCTATTTAATTTACATTAACGTGTTCTTATGCAAAAATTTTATTTTTGATGATTAAATTTTAAAAAGAGAAATGGGAAATGAGTTAAATGAAGTCATATGTACCCTAATGATTGTCATTTTTAAAAAATGTGATTTTGTTTAATTTATCTTGGCTATTTTTTTTTCTTTTCTTTCTCATTGGCACATAATCCACACATACAACTCAACAGTTGCTCAACAGTTGGTTCAATTGCCTAACCACATCAGGGGCACTGCACAGTCACCAGCACATCAATCTTAGAGTATTCCCCACCCATGGTTAAATCACCTTCAAAATGTGTTGTACAATCACAATTAGCTCTATTGCTCCCTCACCCCACCTCCCCCACTATCCACTCCCTAAATCCCCTTTCCTTCCTCATTACCCACCCTCACCCCTACATTCCCCCACAACCCGTTGCAACTGATATTCTCATTATGCCTACACACCTCCTGTGCCTCAAAGCTGGGAAATCCAACAGAAAAAAATGTTTAATCACATTAAGGTAGCACAGAGAAAATAATAGCAGTATAAAGATAAAAACACAAATAATGTACAAGAAGGAAAAGACCCCACCACCATTCAAAAAGCCAGGGAGGAAATTTATGTCATGGAACAAGTAAGAGATACTTGCACCTGGTCGTGTCTATAGCAGGGGTCAACTCACCAAGTATCAAGGTCAATACAGCATAATCAAGACTACAATGGTCTCTGCCAGATAGTAAAGCTACCCAAGACCCCCCTCCCCCTGGCCAGAATGGATCCACCAATGGCTCAGTCTCACTAAATACTCTGCAGATGGGTCCTGGGCACTCACTTCCACTATGGAAGTCCTCCAGAGTCTTCCACAAATTTGTGCTCATAATTTTAGCTCTCATACTTTTCACAATATTCACAATATTTGAATTTTGTAATTGTCATCTTTGGATCACACAAGCTGGTGTGCTTCTTCCATGTGGATATAGCTGACTCCTCACCCACATGGCTACCTGTTTCAATACAAGCCTTTAAGACCCAGACACTGTTTTACTTGATATCCAGACACAGTCCACTTTCCTCACCACACCCTGCTGCCGTGCCCCCATCTTCAGTAATCATTTTGTGAAGGTGCACATCAAGCAGAGACATGATGTAAGGACTAATTGTTCTTATATTGAAACCAGGATTTAATGCGAGCCCAAACCCCATTCCTGGAGCTATGAGTTTTTTTCTTTTCTTTTGTTTAATATGCTGAACTTGGCAGTTAATACATATGTCATATCATTCCATAGCTCAATCATGTCAAACATGATTGTACAATTGCTTCCATAATCAGTCTCCAAACATTCTTTTCCTTCCTGGACTTCTTGACATTTATTTCCCACACCCAATTATATACCAACCCCCACCCAACATACTAAATCCTTGTTATATTTTCTTTGCTTATAGTCTGGGTTTCATTTACTGAAAACCATAGAAACCAATGACACAGCTTCAAGCAGATGACCCTTAATGATGGCTCATCTCTGAGATACACCCTAATATAAACATGCACGAAGCACAATATAACAGAATGGTCATCACAAAATTACTGGAGTAATACATAATTTAATACAGCATATAGGGCATTGAAGAAGCCAAACCTTGTTTGTCTCTAACATCTTGTGTGTTTTCCCGACTACATTCTCACATTACAAGAGTCTCTGTGGTATAATCTAGTTCATCCAGTGAGATGTTCATATGGGGCCCCACCGATGCAGCCTATGGAGCCTGCTGTGTGCCCCAAAAATCCAAGATTCAGTGTCCAAGTGTTCTAAGGCACTCAAACTGCATCCTGGGATACTCCCAGAGGCCCTAGGACCTTTCTGCCCACAGCTGCATGCCACTAAATATCCTCCCCACAAAATGCTCCAAGAGCATTGTCTGTCTATCCTCTCCCTACTTGGGTGTCAGCCCTCCATCCCCTCCCCTCAATAGACATGCGCCTATGTTCCCTCAAACATGTCTGTTTTCTCACTCATCTCTTGCACTGCCCCTCAGTTTAGTAAGCTCAACTCTTTGACAAGGCCACCTCCCTCTCCAGGGGCCCTCATGCCAGAGCCACATAGCTACTACTTAGCAGAGAACCTTCTCCTTCTCCCCCACCCATTGACCACAGCCATCATTAGGTGCCCTCCGGCCAAGAGCCTTACCCTATACTTACTTGAAGCAGATGACGTGTGATTCATTTCCAATGGTCTGACTCTTTGCCAGGTTGTCTGGTCCCAGGTCAGAAGACTGGATGCCCAGCAAGCTTGAGCTTTTGCCCATTCTGCTGCTTGTTCCTATCACAGTGGACTCATACAGCATTTGTCCCTTTGTGCTTCACTAATTTCACTCAGCATAATGTCTTCCACATCACTCCATGAGCTGAGATCTTCCTTCACTGTTTTTTTAGGGATGCATAGTATACCATTGTGTTTATGTAACACAGTTTTTTCTTTTAATCCAGTGTTCTTTTGATGGAAATTTAGGCTATTTCCAGCTTCCTGTTAATGGGAATGGTGCTATGATGAATATGGGAAAACAAATGTCTGTTTGTGATCTATTATTTCCTTTGGGTATGTGCCCAGTTATGTAGTGCTGGGTCATATGGGAGTTCAATTTCCATTTGTTTTAGGTATCACCATATCACCTTCCACAATAGCTGTATATATTTACAAATCCACCAGCAGTGGGTAAGCATTCTTATCTCACTACACCTTCTCCAACATTTGTTGTTCTGTTTTGTTTTGTTTTTTAATTGCACTACTGTAATGGGCTTTAGTTGATATCTCATGGTTGTTTTGGCTTGCATATCCCAGATGGCTAATGATCTGGAGCACTTCCTCATGTGTTTATTAGCCATTTAAATGTCATCCTTTGTGCATTATCTGTTCAGGTCCTTTGTCCACCTTCTCAGAGAGCTACTGGTTTTTATTCTTGTGGTAAGCTTATAAGATTCTGTAGCTTTGGCAGACGGGAGCCCGGAATCCGCCGTCATGGCTGTGGTCAACCCCGTGCCCAAACTCTACAGATCGGTTATTGAAGATGTAATTGAAAGAGTGTGGAATCTATTTGCTGAAGAAGGTATAGAGGAACAAGTCTTGAAAGACTTGAAGCAGCTCTGGGAAACCAAGGTTCTACAGTCTAAAGCAACTGAAGACTTCTTCAGGAACAACGTGCAGTCGTCTCTCTTCACCCTGCAGCTGCCCCACGGCTTATACCAAACGTTGCAAACGTCAACAGCATCTTTAGTTATTCCTGCTGGGAGAACGATTCCCAATTTAACACAGCAGAACTGGGCACTTCAAACTCCAGTGCAAACCTTACTTTTCCTTCCAGTATTGGCTATCCTATCCATGTACCAGCTGGTGTGACGCTACAGACTGCATCTGGCCACCTTTATAAAGTCAATGTACCAGTGATTGTGACGTGGACCCGTGGACTAGCAAGCGCCCCCCAGCACTCACTTCAGCAACTGCTCCAGCCTTTCGGGCCGCCCTCAGTAATACAGACCGGCATTCCGTAATTGAGCCCATCAGCGCTCCAAGCGACTACTGAAAAATCACAGAGGCTGGACACTGTGTTCCCACAGCCCACTCTTCTACATTCCGGGATAGCAGATACGAAACACCTAGGAAATGTCACCACTGATATATTTGTACCGCCTGGAAATGAGCACAGAATCATGTCAGAAGCATTGTTGAGCCAGCAGGAAAGCCCTCAGTACATCAGTCTCCTAGGTGTTGTGTTTGCTCCACAGATCCCTCCCATCGATGCGAAAGTGGAGCTAGCGCTCGGTGTTTCCACCAGCACGACTCCAACCCTGCATGGTGAGCCCTTTGCGACAGCCCCCCAGGGGGCTGTGCATCAGCACACAACTAATGCTCAGTGTTGTGTTCTTAAAAATAGGATGGATGGATGTGATTCTGTAAAGGAGCCAAGACACAGAGAGGAGCCTGTCAACCTACCTATTTCCAAGAAGCAATCTAATTCTCAGATGGATTTACATATTCCAGCCATTGATGATGATATCAATGAAATCATTCAAATAGATGGAACTGGAGATACATCTTCCAGTGAAGAAGTGGGAAGTACAAGAGATGTCGATGAGGCTGACTTTCCAGGGACTGCTGATGGGGAAGATCTGAAATCACTGGAAGAAGAAGGTGACAGTATATCAAATGAAGGTTCGACTGTTAATAGCAGTGATAATGAAGAGCCCGGAAGAGACATCATAGAAGAGGATCCTTTAAATTCTGGAGATGATGTTAGTGAGCAGGATGTGCCAGACCTGTTTGACATAGATAATGTAATTGTCTGTCAGTATGACAAGATTCATTGAAACAAGAACAAATGGAAATTCTATTTGAAAGACGGTGTTATGTGTTTTGGAGGGAAAGACTATGTATTTGCCAAAGCTATTGGTGATGCGGAGTGGTAACTTTTATGAGCTCAATACATCAGCTTTGTAAATCCGTGGGACTATATTACATATTATGATACTTCCTTTCATTTTAAATATAGTCCAATGCAGAACCGCCTATATTTTTTGTTCACTGTATAGAATTGAATAAAGTTCTAATAAAAAAATTCTGTAGATTTTAGTAATTAGTCGTTTGTTATGTAATTACTAAATATCTTTTCCTAATCGGTGGGCTCTCTTTTCACTTTTTAAATAAAGTTGCTTTCCAGGCGTCCTCTTAGGGTGACAACGTCTTTAAACCCAGTGTGGCAATCCCTGACGCACTGCCATGATGCCCAGGAAAGACAGGACGACCTGGAAGTCAAACTACTACCTTAAAATACTCCAACTTTTGGATGATTATACAAAATGCGTCATTGTGGGAGCAGACAATATCGGCTCCAAGCAGATGCAGCAGATCTGCAGGTCCCTCCGAGGGATGGCCGTGGTCCTGATGGGCAAGAACACCATGATGCGCAAGGCCATCTGAGGGCATCTGGAGAACCACCCAGCTCTGGAGAAACTGTTGCCTCATATCCGAGGGAATGTGAGGTTTGTGTTCACCAAGGAGGATCTCACTGAGATCAGAGACATGCTGCTGGCCAACAAGGTGCCAGCTGCCGCCCGTGCTGGTGCCATCGCCCTGTGTGAGGTGACAGTGCCAGCTCAGAACACAGGCCTGAGTCCTGAGAAGACCTCCTTCTTCCAGGCTTTGGGCATCACTACGAAGATCTCCAGAGGCACCATTGAAATCCTGAGTGACGTGCAGCTGATCAAGACTGGAGACAAAGTGAGTGCCAGTGAAGCCACCCTGCTGAACATGCTGAACACCTTCCCCTTCTCCTTTTGGCTGATCATCCAGCAGGTGTTTGACAATGGCAGTATCTACAACCCCGAAGTGCTTGACATCACTGAGGAAGTTCTGCACACCCGCTTCCTGGAGGGTGTCCGCAATGTTGCCAGTGTGTTCCTGCAGATTGGCTATCCAACTGTTGCCTGTGCCCCATTCGATCATCATTGGGTACAAGCGGGTCTTGACTTTGTCTGTGGAGACTGAGTACAGCTTCCCACTGGCTGAAAAGGTCAAGGCTTTCTTGGCGGATCCATCCGCATTTGTGGCCAGCTGCCCCTGTGGCTGCTGCCACCACAACTGCTGCTCCTGTTGCTTCAGGCCCAGCCAAGCAAGAAGCAAAGAAAGAACCGGAAGAGTAGGATGAGGACATGGGATTTGGTCTCCTTGACTAGTCAACAAAAAGAAACCAAAGTAACCAGCTTTATTTGTGAAACAAGGAAATAAAAAGGCTTAGTTCTCTGAGAAAAAAAAAAAAGTCTTTCAATGTACACAATTGTTTTATTTTTAATAGGTCTCATTCATCCATCTTATCTTCCATAGAGTGGGTTTCCTTTGTTAATTCTGATAGCCTATAGAGTCCCTGCACTAGGGCTCCTAACTGTGTCCCAATTTTCTCATTGATGATTCTGAAAGCTTTGGGTTTTACACAGGTTGATCCACCTTGCGTTAGGTTTTGTGCCTGGAGTGAGATAAGGGTCTTGTTTGATTCTTCTGTAACTGGATACCCAGATGTTCCAACATCTTTTATTGAAAAGTATATCTCCATCCCACTTAATGTTTTTGGGGCCTTTGTCAAGAATGAGTTTTCTGTATGCAGATGTTTTTATTTCTAGGTTTTCTGTCCTGACTCATTGGTCTGTGTATGTATAATTATACCAGTACCATACCATTTAAAAAACTGTAACTGTATAATAGGGCTTGAGATAAGATAGAGCCAGACCCCATACTTTGTTCTTTTTAAGGAGTTCTTTGCCTATCCTGGGCTTCTTCCCTCTCCATATGAAATTAATAATGTTTTTTTTCTTTCATTTCTTTGAAGAATGATGCTGGGATTTGGATCGATATTCCATTGAATCTGTATATTGCTGAGGGTAATATTGACATTTTGACAATATTGAGTCTTCTAATCCTTGAACATAGAATGTTCTTCCATTTGTGTAGCTCCCTTTTGGTTTCTTGTAGTAATGTTTTGTAGTTTTCTTAATACAGGTCTTTAGTCTTATTGGTTAGGTTTTGTGTTAGTCTAAGTAGACTAGAGAAACAAATTCATAGACACTCATATATGGATAAGAAATATATTTATATATGAGAGCATTTGAATATTGAGAAATCATCCCAGCCCAGTCCTGATCAAGTCCTTAAGTCATATAGTAGCCCCTATATCCAATTCCAATCTACAAAGTCTTCTTCAAGTTAATGAAACACATACAATGATGCTGAATGCAGGAAGATCACAGGCCAGTCGGTCGGGAATTTACATGTGAAGTTTCGTGTATGCAGTGACATTGTAAGCATCTCAGTGGTGGCAGATGTCTCCACATGACTTCTCCAGCTCCAGAAGTCTGGCTCCATCAGGCTCTCTCCATGTGTCTTCTCCACAGGGATTGTGCAGAGAGAGAGAGTGTCCCCTGCCTCCAAGAATGAAATACAGGAGCTCCCAGAATCTTCAGGAGAAGGCTATGCCCACACAGAGGCCTCATTGGCTATGTCCTGATTGACAGGCTAGACTCCACCCTAAATTTTAAGTCCTCAAATTGACACCAGATTATGTAACTAACACAGGTTTGTTTCTAAGTATTTCATTTTCTGTGAGGATATTGTGAATGGTATTGTTTTCCTTGATGGAGTTTTCAGCATTCCCATCATTGGCTTATAGGAAACCAGTTGATTTTTGCTTCTTAGTCTTGTATTCTGCTACACTACCAAACTCCTCTATTTTTTCCAGTAATTCTATTGTGGACCTGGTGGGATTCTCAATATGTGAAATCATATCATCTGCAAATAGCAAAATGTTCACTTCTTTACCCAGTTGTACTCCCTTGATTTCTTGCCATTGTTTTATGATAATGTCTAGGACTTTCATCACAATGTTGAATATTAGTAGGGATAAGGGATAATGGAAATGTTTTCAGCTTTTCTCAATTGAGCATAATAATGACTATTAGTTTTTCATATATGGACTTTATTATATTGAAAATTTCCCTTCCAATCATATCTTCTTGAGAGTTTTTATTAGGAATAGGTGTTGGATATTATGAAATACTTCTCTTTTTTGCATCAAGTGGTGTGATCATATGGTTCTTGTCCTTTTTCTTAATAGGGAGGATTACATTAATTGATTTTAGAATATTGAACCATCCCTGCATCCCTGGTATAAATTCCACTTGGTTCTGATGTATTATTATTATTATGTTGTTGTTGGATTCTATTGGTCAAGATTTTGTTGAGAAGTTTTGCATCCATTTCCATAAAAGATATGAGTCTATAATTCTCTATCCTTGTGGAGTCTTAGCCTAGTTTTGGTATTAGGGTAATTAATGCTGGTTTCATAGAATGACTTTTGGAGTTTGCTGTCCCTCTCTATGTTCTGGAAAAGTTTCTGAAGTATTGATGTCAGCTCACCTCTGTATGCTTGGTAGAATTCTCCATCTGGACTGGGGCTTTGTTTGGTTGGGAGTTTCTTGATGACCTTAACTATTTCTTCTTTTGCTATGGATTTTTTTCAAGTTCTTGATGTCCATATGAATTAATTTGGGGGGAGAGTGTTTTTCTAGGTTTTTATCCATTTCCTCCAAGTTATTGAATTGTTAACATAGTCTCTTGTAGTACTGTGTTATTAATATTTTTATTTTGTTAGGGTCTGCCGTAACTTCCCCTGTTTCATCCGTTATCCTTGAAATTGATATAGGCTCCTTCTTTTCCTTTGTTAAATTTGCTCACTGTTTGTCGTTTTTGTTAATCCCTTCAAAGAAACATCTTCTTGTTTTGTTATTTCCATTGTCTTTCTGTTTTCAAGTTCATTTATATCTGTTCATTTTATGATTTGTTTTCTTTTATTGTTGGAAGGATTATGCTGTTGCCTCTTTTCTAATTGACAGATGTACTTTGTTAAGGAGCTGAACATGATTCTCTTATCTTGTGCTTCTTAAGGTCTATTTTGTCAGATTAATACTGCCACCCTTCTTTTAAAAAAATTGCCATTAGCTTGGTAAATTTTTCAACATCTTTTGACTTTGTGAGTTTCAGATGTGTCTCTTTGAAAGCAGAAGATTTGATGGAATTGCTGGATAATCCTGTATGCTACCCTTTGTCTTTTTATGGCCATTTGAATCCATTAATTTTCAGTGTCATTAAGTCTAATTGCAGGTTAGTCGCTGTCATCACTTACTATTTGTTTGATATTTTCTTTTCTTGCCCATTTATAGGGTGGCATATATGTGTGAGGAATTTATTCAGGTATTCATTGCTCCTTTTGATCTGCATTGTTTGGGGTGCTGTTTCCGTGTGTTGGTTTCTGGGTTGTGTTACACCCTGTAGTGTTCTCATGTCCATGTGCTGCAGTTTCTATTTTTCTGATCACAAAGAATGACTCTAAGCAATATTCTCTTGAATTCTCTGACAATTAAAGGATGCTTCTTCTGTGTATACTGTTGAATTTTGGTCTTCTTCAGTGATGGACTTTTGTTTCTCTGGATTATTTTTTTGGTGGTAACTTCTGTTGTTGGCTGTTGTCTCCATCACATCATGGATAAGCTAAGCCTAGGCTTCTATGATTTGTAGGGAGGAGGAACTGGCTCTCTAGGTTAGGAGAGGATCAGCTAGGTACTGGTAATGTGTTCATATGTTCAGGTAGTGTTAGTTGGGTGAATAGGAGAAACTACTTATAGGCTAGTATGTTTTAGTTAGTGGTATTAATCATAGGAAGGCTTCCTGTTAAATGTGTTAGTTTTTAAAGGATAGGAGAAACGGGTAATGGAAGTTAAATTTTTTCTTGATAAGTTAAGGGAGAGTGTGTGTTATCAAGGTGTAGGAAGCAGGTTATAGTGGTTATGGTATTTAGCGTAAATGAGGGTATATTATATCTACCAGAGTCCCTTATGGACACTTTTTTTTATTTGTGTAGGGA